ACAGTACTGACTGGGATGTGAGAGCCAGGGATACAGCTTAGGGACCTGGAAGAATGTAGGTGCAGAAACAGCCATCCAAGCCTGCGTGGTTGGGGAAGACTTGAGGAAATAGCTGAAGGAGTGGACATGGGCAGTTAGAATAATAAAAAGCAAGGAATTAAGTAACATTTCCTTCAAATGATGCTTTTTGCTCCAATTCTTGCCTAGAGGTGGTGGTTGGGGATTTTACCAGCATCTCTCTTTGGAATTCAAATGTACCAGTATTTTGCTTTCCCTGAAAAGCTTAAGTTACAAATTGATAGCTTCTAAAACCTCTCTGCAGAGGGTTAATATCTGTGTTGGAAAAGAGAAACTCATCAGTTAATATCTACTTCTTAATCAGCTCAAGGTGCTGAAAAAAAAGGCCATTCACCAAGTGGTTAGGAAAGCTAATTTGTCATTCTGGCATTTTGACCTACTGTGCTTTTAAGGCATTATTCTTCCACACCGTTTCAAAACCATTATTCTTCCACACCGTAGTTTCTCTTGGAGAGAACCAATTACATCTTTCCCTACCATATGCGATGGGATGTCCTTGACATTACTTATTGGGTTTCCTTCTTATCTGGAAACTTGGTTGGAAACTCTGGAGTAGGGGGGACCCTCATTTATTCATCTCTCCACCCTCCGTAGCACCTCCCATGAGTCCTTGCCCAGGGCTGGCTCTGAGGAACCTTTTGTTGGATTTGAAATGATGATCATATCGGGTTAATTTCTAACATTAGCCATAAAAATTGGCTAGAGTTCAAAGCTGGTGGCATGTTCAAGTGACTGCCAAGCCTCTTGCTCATTCCCTCCCACCCCCCCGCCTCAAGTTGTGAGCAACTGAATTTATCAGCTGTGAAGCTGGTTGCACTAATACCTCAGATGAATCCTCAGTATAAGCTATATCCCCCGCTGGGGCTTCTTGAGGAAGGTCACTGGGTCTCACCCATCTTGGAACCTTTATGCTTAGTCCAGTGACGGCCTGGTATGTAGAAAGCGCTCAGTACATGTTTATCGGATTAGACAGAAATGTTCTAATGCCTTAGAAATTAGAAAAAACATTTTCATTAGGTTACTTCTCCCTCAAACTCAGACTACATATCGTTATAGAAAAGAGAAAGGCGAGGGGGTGGGGACAGAAAACACTTCCTGCTCTGGAAACTATACCATTAGCTCCTTTTTTCAAGCCGGCATTTGTGATCTGATGCCTGTATTTCACACAAGAAATGACAGCTTCCCTGATACTTCAGAGTCCTTTCTCTTATCTAGGCTGATTATTTTTTAAATTTAATTTTTTAAAGCACAGACCCATCTTTGTTCTATGCAGGGCAATGTATTTGGGTTGACAAGATGGTTTCCCTGTTTCTTCCTTTAGGCACACTTTCATCAGTATGTTCCTGTCTTGGTTTAGTCCTGAGATGATTTTTTTTTTGGCCCAGAGTTTATCATGGACATTTACATTAGAGAGTATTTCTGCATCTTTCTGTGATTTTCATCTTTAGTGTATTAGAATAAGTCCCCCCCGCCTTCTTTGGATGTTAATTTTATTTAAGAACATGATCTGGGGCTGCATATTCATTCATGTGAATATTAACTAATCCAGATGAACTTTACTGGAATGTAAATACTGTGGCTGGAAGGCAAGATCAAAACCATTCCCCAAACAGAAATGTTAATCTTTCTATGGCCAAGGGGAAACGCAGCAGTTTAACATGCAAGCAATTTCATGCATTTTTACATTAAGTCATTAAGTAGAATCTTTTGTCTGTTTTGTATGGTTGCAATTATTTATGAGTAACAGGTAAAGGCCAAAGGTCCCCAGCGTTGCTTGACCTGTTTGAATATCAGTCCATACCAAAGATATTTGGAGAAATCACTGTTCTGACCGCAGTGTCAACTAACACCGAAGGTGGCGTTTCATCCACCTTAAACATGTCACCAGAGGTTGAGTGAAACTACATACTCGCTTCCATTTATATACATGGTCATGCATCACTTAAGGATGGGGACACATCTTGGGGAAATGCGTTGTTAGGTGATTTCATCGTTGTGTGAACACACCGTAGAGGGCACTTACACATACCTAGATGGTATGGCCTACTACACACCTAGGCTATATGCTATAGCCTATTGCTCCCAGGCCACAAACTTGTACAGCATGACATCTACTGAATGCTACAGACACTTATAACTCAATGGTAAGTATTTGTGTATCTTAACATATGTAAACATAGAAAAGGTACACTAAAAATATGGTGTTACAATCTTATGGGACTGTCATCATATATGAAGTTCATCGTTGACTGAAACGGTGTTATGTACCACATGACACTGTGTGTGTGGGTGTGTGTGTATGAGCACATGTATATGCATATGTAAAACCCAAGACTTCAGTGCAGTGTGTATGTGAGGCATGTGTGTGCATGATGTGGTAGTGGGGAGATGGGTCTCGTAGGTTCATGCAAACTAGCAAAGCAGAAGCTCAAGTTTAATGAATATTTAAAATATTATAGGCATTTACTTACAAAACAAACTGTAGATTTCTTCTGTATATCAAGAAATCAGTAGATCCTTCTATAAAGGAAAACTAAATCTTTTTTGATTGATAGAGTGGGCTTTCCCTGAGTACTGATGTCATTGGATCACACTTAGATGGAGTGCCTTGGAAAGTCTGACTTCTCTCATAGATGCCAACGTGAGAGACTAATCGTACACAAAATAGCCTAGAGCCGTTGGGGATTCAAATGGCTCCAGCCTGACCTCTTATCCTGACTTTCATACTTCTACCACCTCCAGCTCAGACCAGTCTCTTAGGCTAGGTCTAACACAAGCCAGTTCCAAAGAACGGGTATTATCCCTGGGTTAAATAAATATTTCATGTGATTTCTTTCACTTGGCCAATCAATTATTGGATCAGATTGACCTAGAACCTTCTGGTTATTATAGTACTATTCTGTCTCTGTCCCTTAGGAAAGGATCAGCAACAACACACACACACACACACACACACACACACACACACACCCCACGCTTTTTCTTACAGCATTTCGAAGCTTTGGTGAGACACCTTAACTTATTTAAACAAAATATACAATTAAATAAATGAAAGCTCACATCTGTTTTGAGATTGACTCTGGTAGCACTAGTCTTACTGGATTTTATTAAAAGGAATTCCAGTTATGGTAACTACATTTATAAAAGCACAACTGGGGTGGATGAAATTGGAGTCGTTCACTAGGTTAGATCAATATTCAGCCCTGGCTACACATCCACCTGGGGAGGTTTTGAAAAATACTGAGGCCTGGGCCATACTTCAAGCCAATTAAAGTACAATCTCTGGCTGTGAGGCCTTGGCATCTGTATTTTTAAAAGCTCCTCCAGGAGATTTTAATGTTGAGAACCACAGAGTTAGATGAATGGAACCAGGGAGTCAGGAAAGGGGTGATTAATACTATGCCATGCCAGTGACGGACCAAAGAGCCTAAGCATTTTTTTTTTTTTGTTAGATGGAGTTTTGCTCTTGTCACCTAGGCTGGAGTGCAATGGTACGATCTCGGTTCACTGCAACCTCTGCCTCCCAGGTTCAAGCGATTCTCCCACCTCAGCCTCCTGAGTAGCTGGGATTATAAGCGCCCGCCACTATGCCCAGCTAATTTTTGTATTTTTAGTAGAAACGGGGTTTCACCATGTTGGCCACGCTGGTCTCAAATTCCTGACCTCAGGTGATCCACCTGCTTTGGCCTTCCAGAGTGCTGGGATTACAGGCATGAGCCACCACGCCCAGCCTGAGCCTAAGCTTTTCATTTAGAGTAAGTCTCTGGATATCAGAGCTGGATATATGCCTTAAATATATGTCTCATTTTGGAGGAGGGAAACTGAGGCTCAGAGGCTTAGTAATGCTATATAGTATTATCCTGGCCAGAAAGTGCCTTTCACTGTATGCCTCTCCCCTAAAGAGCAACCTTGAGAACTGAAAGAGCAACTCCTGTCTATGTATCTAACCATCTATTTATTTAGTAATATTTAAACAGTGGAAATGGTTTATGGTGGTGTTATCGGCACAGCTTTGTAGCTCTCAGATGTAAAGGCTGTGTCTCTTATTAGCTACTGCTTATTTTTTCTAAGCCTGTCTTCTTATCTGGCAAATAAGAATTAAGAATAACTACTCCCCAAGTGTTATCACAAATGAGATGACAGCAGGTAAAGCATGTAGTATGTGCTTGGAAAACCAAACGGGATTATAATTATTAACCGTATTAAAAAAAAATCTTGGGATTTATGTAGAAATAGCTGCAGAGGGGTTAAAAAGAGCTTCTTGGAGCTTCTTTGCACAAAATATCATAACCCTGCAAAGGCTGTTTTTGGTTTCCATTGATTGAAAACACAAATAACCCCCAACTGAAGCTCATCTTATGAAGGAATGAATGGATTTCCAATCTGTGTTTTCTTGTTTACTGTGGAAAATATGCGATCCAAGGAAAACACAGGTGGTTAAACTGTTCAGTGCCTCTATTTTTATAAGCAAAGGGCTCTAAGCATTCAAACCCAAATATTTTACTTAATAGAAAATGAAGACTAACTTCTCAAGGTTAACTGGCTCCAGGTTTCCTGTGGCCAAATTTAGATTTTCTCTTTCAGCCATCAGTTGAAATTCCAAAACAATAATAAAAAGCTCACAATTAGCATTTTTAAAGAAGCATTTTCTTTTCATTTAGGAGCCTTTTCTTTTTTGGCATCCCTTTTGTTTTGCAAAAATAAAATCCTAATAGGGAGAGGACAGCTACCTCCCCGCGTTGGATGCTTGCGAGATGAAGACGGGAGGCGGCTCCGCAGGGCCCGGGAGAAGGTGGCGCCCCTCCCCCCGCCCCCCGCCCCCCGCCCACTCCCCACCTTCTCTCCCCGCTGCCCGCCCCGCCACCGGGGCTTGTGCGGACGTGTCTCGGGCGTGACCTTTGAGCAGCTGCGCCACCGGCTCAGCCTCGCGGCGGGGGAAACCCGAGCTCCCAACAAAACAGTTCCATCTTTGGCTAGGCCTGTGGTATTTCCAGGCGCTGCCGGTGGGGAGAGATGCCGCGTGCCTGAGAGGCTCTGGGAGGTCGCCGCGGCTTTCGCTTCCCGGGTTTTACATTTCCGAAGGGGCTGAGCGTCTGCAGAGGAACCCGAGCTGATGCTGGGGCTGGGGCCGGGGCGGGAATCTAACGAATGCACCTCCGGGGAGGCTGGAGGGAGCGTGGCTCATCCTCCTCCCAGGATGGGTCCTTCAGCGCGCTTTCCTTCTTTTTTCCTTTTTGCAGATGTTATGTGGTCAACAGGGACTGAGACTCTTTAAGCCCTTACATCTCTAAGGGCTAAATCTCCTTCCTGATGTTCCTCCCTCCTCCAAAGCGGTAACAGTTTTCACGTGATTCAGTTGCCTCTACCTGCCTGAAGGACTGGAGTGCAAAGTTGAACTTGACTCCGGCAAGTGAATTGATCCTTCCCTGGGGAAAAAAGTTTAGACATCACTAATAGTAGTTAACTTTTGAGTGCTTCCTCTGTGCTAAGCACGGTTCTAATCACTTAAATGTAATAACTCATTTAATCATCACAATTGTATGACATAGGAATTATTATTTCTGCTTTACAGGCACCAAAGAAGGCCAGGAGAGGTTTAACAACTTCTTCAGAATCACACAGCTTGCACATGGTTGGGCTGGGTTTACGTTTAGGCGGTCTTGCTCCAGAGTCAGTGCTCCTAACCATTGCAAACAACAAATCTCAACAAAGTGGAGAAGGAAACGCTGGGAAATTTGGAAGTCAGACATGGCAGGTGAGGACTTTCTTTTTTCTTTCTCTCTCTCTCTCTCTTTTTTTTTTTTTTTTGAGATGGAGTTTTGCTCTTGTTGCCCAGGCTGGAGTGCAGTGGCGCGATCTTGGCTCACCACAACCTCTGCCTCCCCGGTTCAAGTGATTCTCCTGCCTGAGCCTCCCCAGTAGCTGGGATTACAGACATGCACCACCACGCTCGGCTAATTTTTTTTTGTATTTTTAGTAGAGACAGGGTTTCTTCATGTTGGTCAGGCTGGTCTCAAACGCCCAACCTCAGGTGATCTGCCCGCCTCGGCCTCCCGAAGTGCTGGGATACAGGCATGAGCCATCGCGCCCAGCCAGGACCTTCTTAAATGCTCTGTTTTGGTCAGAAAGTGCTGGGACCCCGGGGTGGCACACCCAGCACTCACCAGGAACTAAGTACCTGCTGCCCATTTTGGACACGTGCTGGCAGCTTGTTAATTCTCATGCTGCCATTCTCAGGAGGGGCTCCCTGGCAATCTGATCTATTGCCTGTTGGAAAGGGACAGGGCAAGCAGGGACAGGAGATGCTGACGGCAGGCGGTTGGCTCCCAGGGTGGGTCTGAAGAGAGAGGAGAGAGGTGTGAGAAAGAGAGGGACCCATGGCACGAGGGCCGAGGCAGGGGCCAGGTCTTGCCTTCGATGCCCCTAGGAAGTATGCTAGGCACTTGGGGGAACTCCTGTCCTGAAACGGTGAAGTCTGCATCCAGCAGGCCAATCTGTTGATGAACAAGTTTGGCTAGACTGGCAAGGAGTCAGAATTTGTCCCTTTCTAGTTTGTTCCCCCGGATGGAGGTATGAGCACAGAATGAGTCCTTAGAGGATGCTTCTGGGGAGAGAGCAGTGAAGACCAAAGTTCTAGGATGGTTTAAAAGCTCCCTTCTCTGGCATATGGAAGAGCAAGATGTGTGCCCTCCCCCAAACACGCGCCACACCAGGTTCGCTTCCCGCTGGTCTGAATGTCTCCCTTGGCTAATTCTTACTCTTGGATTCCATTACCTTTGAGCTAACAGCTCCTACAGTGCCATTTTATATCAGCGAAGAGTACCCAGCACAGTTGCCTGAGTCAGGCAGGAAAAGCTTGGTGTCCCTCCCGTCGCCCACTCAGTACCCACCCACACAGCACACAGCAGGAGTACTGAAAATGCACCCAGGCCGGGCGCTGTGGCTCACGCCTGTAATCCTAGCACTTTGGGAAGCCGAGGTGGGCGGATCACGAGGTCAAGAGATTGAGACCATCCTGGCCAACATGGTGAAACCCTGTCTCCACCCGAGAGGACAAGAGATTCACGAGAGCTAAAGTTAGTTGCCCAGAGTTTGCGTAATAATATTCCAGTTAGCCGCAACAAGTCATCGCGTTTTGGCATTACTTTCAATGGCAAAACCATGATTACATTTGCCAACCTAATAATAAGTTTGTGACAAAGTAACAGCAACTAATATTTATTGAGCACTTGGCCATGGGCCAGGC